CTGCGGCTCTAAGCCTAAGGAAATGGGCACTAAACTACAAACACACACACACACACAGACCACCTACAATCCTTACAGCTGGGACACTGAGAATAAAGCCTGCTCCCGACACCAGCAGCCCCCCCACACACACACACATTGTCCCACCCTTGCCATCCCCGCAACCGCAACAACTTTATCTATTTCTTTGATCCTGTGGTGATCTGGAAGTAAATACGTGAGTCTGTTAAGATGATTCTTCATGGGCTATAGTAGCATCCAGCAAAACTGTAAGATCTTTCAAGGACTCATTCTCTACTATGTCTCAGATGGACTTTAGGAAGCTCATAATAATCTATTTGCACAATAATGGCAAAATGTCACCTACAGGCCACCTTCAGAAGGGCCACCTCTCCTTTTCACAAAAGGAAACAGAGCTGGGGAGGTCATCTGCTCCAAATCAGAGGGCTGAGCGGGTCCCTCTAACTTCCTGTGCTTGCTGCACTCTCCCATGCGTGATGGGAAAAGAAACCATTATTTGCCGCCTGCCTTCAGCTAACACTTTACACCAAGTACTCTAGGTTCTGACTGCCCACAGGATTACAGTTCATCATTAAAATATCCAACAGGGCCCCCTGGGTGGCTCAGTGGGTTAAGCCTCTGCCTTCAGCTCAGGTCATGATCTCAGGGTCCTGGGATCAAGCCCCGCATTGGGCTCTCTGCTCAGCAGAGAGTCTGCTTCCCTCTCTCTCTCTCTGCCTGCCTCTCTGCCTACTATGATCTCTGTCTGTCAGATAAATAAATAAAATCTTTAAAATAAAATAAAATAAAATAAAATATCCAACAACCTGAGTTTTTTTTTTAAGTACATCAATCACCTTTATTAGTTGCAATCCTAAGTTAGTTTTCCTTAGAACAGTAATATTTCACTTTTAGTGTTACTCATCCATTAAAGCAGCATCACCGTACTGCCAAATTAACCACACACAACTAAACACCTGACGCGTGCATCCCACCTCTATCTGGGCCAGCACCGGCAGCATGGCCTTGGAAAGCCTCTGGAACAGACCCTAGGAGGCCCCTCCTCCACCCCATCCTGAGTAGGAGCCAGGTGTCTCAGTACCATGGACGGCTCCTCACACTGAGGTACTAGGTCCACCTTGCTCCACTGGAAAACTCGGGAGGAGGGGCTGGCTGTGCAGGGAAGGCAAGGGGATACGAAGCCACTGTTGGGATTTCTGCTCTTCTCTCACTCAACCTACAGGAAATGGGCCAAGGGCATAGGAGGTGGTTCCACTGGAGAGGGGAGCCCTGCCCCTTAGGGCCCAGAGGAAGGAGGGTAAGAGCAGGGATTAGAGAAGTCAGCGCTCTAGTGGGAGGGGTGAAGGATGGGGTGATGCAGAGGAGATAGAACACTTGAACATACAGGTTTAGCAAACAAACCCCAGAGGTGGTGACCAGCCAGGCAGGAAGGGGGAAACACCCCTCACCATCTCAGTTCACCTGCGTTCAGGAGGCCCTCAAATATACAGTGGACAAACACTGAAACGAATGTATCGATAACAGCTTGAGGCTTTGCAGGGTTGGAATCCACAGCACTAGCAGCAAGGATCCCAGGCAGGAAAACAGTGCTGTTAGCACAGAGGAGGAGAGCAAGAGTTAACCCAGTGCAAGAAGGGCCAGAAACCTGAGGGGGTGACATCGGGGGGTGGGCTGCTCCCTCGACTCTCCCCAGACCCAAAGGCAGCTGGCTCAAATTCATCCAATCATATTCTTTAATAATCAACACACACCAAGGCACACCCGTGTTTTTCTTTCCACTTTAGGATGAAAAGCAGGAATGGACTTCCAGAACGCAGGCTACAGCTGAACGCATCATTCAATCATGAAAAACACACACGTACACACACTCTGTCTCCGTTTGTCTCTCCCCATTGGCCCCTGGCTAGCCTCACACAGGGACCCTGAAACCTCTAACATTTTCCTTCCTATTTCCCCTCCAGAATCCTTGCATGGATCCCACTGTCTTTCTCCTAGATATCCCTGGTTCCCTGAATCCGGCCCATCACCCTCACCACACTACATCCAAGTAAAGTCTTTCAAGGCGCAGCCCCAGTAGGCAAGTGCCCCGCCAGTGGAGCCCAAGCAATCTCTCTTGTCCCGCTGAGAACACCCAAGCATCGGAGACTGGCCCACAGCCTGGCCTCTGGTCAAGGGGGAGGCCTCACCAGGCTGACTTCCTGCCTTTACCCCTGCCCTGCCCAGGATGGAAAATGTTCCTTCAACCCTCCTGGGCCAGGAGCCCACTGAGTCTTCAAGACCCATCTCACATGCTATCACCTCTCCCAGGACTCTCCCTTCAAATCCCCAAAGGTGCAGGTGGCTGTCCCGTAAGCCTCATAGCACACGCTCATCTCAACAACCCCCACAGCTGGGTCCAGGCACCCGGGGCCTCCCACACAGACTGCTCGCTGCCTATCTGCTAGAACATGTCAGTACTTTCCTCCTCTTTTTTCCCGTGTTAAGAGTATGGACACCACCACACTGCGACAGTCACAGAAAATCCACATCCCAAGATGAAACCACACGAAAGCCCCTCAACACACGCTGTCCTGCCCTAGAAGCACACATTCACTAACATGGTTGGCAGACGGACACCCACCTCCCAATCTACAGCGAGGCACGCAGCCACACCGCAGTGAGGATGGGACCCACAGCTTCCCACACCTCCCAAGGACACAGGTGGGGCTTCCCCGACACACTCCTCCCACCGTGAAACCGAGCAAAGAAAGCCTCACTCACCAAGCCTCTTGGGCATGGGGTGCAAACAGGCACTTAGTGCACGCACAAATGTTTGCATGCGCACACCTACTGCAGCTCTACATGCTGGGTCCCCAAGCGATCCCAGCAGGTGTTTCAAAGCCTCTCCTGTTCCTTCTTGGCTCAGCTGCTAGGGGGTGGGTACACAGACCCAAGCTGTTCTGTTTAGGTCTCTTGTGCCCCAAGAATGGGTAAGGGGTATGGGGGTCCTGAATGGGTGCCCTCCCATCACTTTGCCCTTGCCCAAAGGCCCCCCCCCACTTCTGTCTCACCAGCAGGCAACTGTGCCTGCCGCTGCCAGGCTCAACTCTCAGCCAGGACTAGCCTCCTTGGCATAAGACCAGGGCAGAGCTGCACACTGCATATTTTACCACACTAAAGACATATGCTTCCACTCTTCTGATCAATCAACAATCTTCACTCTTCAGATCAACCAGCAATCTCAACTGTAAGCACTGCCCAATTTTATAGATGGTTTGTGCACCGAGTTCCCCAGGGAGTCAGCTGTTTAGAAAAAGAACAATCCCCACCCACCCTGCCAGAGAACCAATAGCCTGTGTAGCAGGTAAGGCTCCCAAGTCAGTCAACAAAAGCTTTTTAATACACTCTGGATTTGAAATACAGAACCTCGAATGCTTTCTCAAAGGACTGAAAGATGCTCCCAACCAAATTTATCTACCTGGCTCTAAGAAAATAACTCAAGTCCTCCTTGGAATGCCCAGAACACATCCCCTCCCTCTCACAGGTCAGTGACACCCTGCCCCTCCCCTCACAGGTCCTCTAAGGAGATCATCCCCCTGGGGTAAGGGAGGTGCTCAGAGTGGTGGCTACAGGCAGGCTTGCAGGGGCTGGGGTTGGACAACTCCAAGAGCTGGGCACCCCCACAGCCTTCCATCCATCCGCAGACCTGCCAGGAAGCTGCCCTATCCCTTCCCAGGACACAGCCTGCCAGGCCAATCAGAACACCTTAACTCTGCTCATAGCCCTTCCCGTATTTCTCCTGTCCCCAGGTAAGGGCAACCCTCGGGAGGTCCCTGAGGGTTCAGACTCCTCAGAATATAGTTCACGAGTCTCAAGCTGCTTTCTGTAGCTTCTTGTTCTTGTTCCCCTGGCAGAGAAGGCAAAGCCCTCCTCAGGCTGTCTCTAACAGGGCAGGGGACAGAACTCCCGAGTGTACTCTGCTGCCCTTCCGCTGGGGACAGAGGGTCCTGCCGCAGCAGGCTCCAGGCCGAGAGCAGAGCCGGGGGTAAAGGAGGAGGCTGAACTGTGATGAGGGTGGAAGAGCAGAGAGCAGAGGAATGAGTGGCCCGCACAAGGAGGCAGGCAAGGACGGTTCTTTTCCTTCCCGAGCCAGCTCCATACCCATTTGAGCTGGGGGCTGGGGATGCAAGGTGAACCAGCCAGAGCCCTCGAACCGAGGGGAGCACAATCCCATGGGAAAAGACACGAAAACAAAAAAGGACAGAGTGGACTAAGAGCCACATCAGAAGACTGTACACGAGATGCATGTGTGGGGATTCAGAGGAGGCAATGACAGAAGCCTTGGGGACACAGGCGTGCTTCACAGAGTGGGAGGGACAAGCCGGGAGAATAAGCAGGGTTTACTGGTTGCTGGGGAGCACAAGCACAGGAGGAGAAACAGCGGCCTCGGGGAGGAGCTCAGCCCAAGGCGAGTGCAGGGCTCAGAGGCCAGCCCACGGCAGGGTGGTGGGACAGAGAGCAAGGGAGAAGCCTATGGGGTGGGAGTGGTCAGATTCTGAATGGGGAGTGGGGCTGTAGCCGGGCAGGCAGCCCAGGGGAAGATGCAATGGGAGCAAGATGGGGGGGTGGGGGGGCACAGAGTGGAGAGCAGAGCCACCCTGGAGGCAGAGAAACCAGTGGGCACCAGCAGAGCAGTTAGGTCTGAACTAAAGGAAGGGGGACAGGAAGGGGATCCTGGAGAGAATGAGACCTGCCCACTGGGGATCCGGAAGGAGTGGAGAGTGAGTCTGAGTCTCCAGCTTGCCTGCCTGGGGAAGAGAGGCTGAGCCCTCCACCAAGAAAAGAAACATGGGGGTGGGGGTTGGGGGGGTTGACCGTGGCCACTAGGATGCCCCCAACCCCTGCCAGTTCCAGCTAGTCCTTCCGAGCAGCCCTGGGTGAGTGGCCTCGCTCCATGCCCCAGGGGGCTTCGGCACCCCAATTCAGCACCCCAATCTCACCTGCATCCAAACGTTGTCTGCAACAAGGTTGTGATTCCCACGCAGAAGAAAATGGTCCCGATGAGCTGGCTGGTGGCCCACTGGTCGTAGCCCACGCACATGGCGTCGGCCAGCAGAAAGGGCACGGCGATGGTGCCACTGAAGCACGTCAGGTAGTGCTGTGGGCGACAGGAGGGGTTGGGGAGAGAGGAGCGCTTCCTCGTGTTTCTGTCCGATCCTATCCGAACCGGAGCCCCGGCTGTTTGTGAACAACAGCCCACAGGAAGATTGGTGTTCTGGGTACATACGCCTACCCTGTAGCACATCCTCTCCCTTCTTTAGTGCTTCTCCTTCCTGGCACAGTTTCCCGTCTATGGCTCGTGTGAGCCCAGCCTGCACAGGTGAGGTTTATTTACAGAACTCTGACTGAGAACACCTGCTTTGTTCAAATGCTTTTTTAGCATCAGTTGCTAAGATCGGAGATCCTTTCCCTCTAATCTGTTGACATGAATTGTGTTGCATGGAACTATTCTTGAAACAAGCCCTCAGCAGTCATGCTAGGTTTTTCTTCTCGGGTGCGATTTGCCAATATTTTACGTAGCATTCTCCATATATATTCTTGAGATCATCAGTCTGCCTTTTATTCTTTTTTTTTTCTTAAATTCTCTCCAGTCTGTGGGTTAAAGTTACACAAGCGTCTACGCACAGGGTGTTTCCCATCTTTTTCTAGGGCCTGGCATTTTTGACTACCATCAGGAAAGGGTTATGGGTGTGTGGGAACCCTCCAGAAAGTGCCCATCCCCCATTCCTCCTTTGGGACCCAGCCCCCACTTTCGGCCCCTGGTGGGACATTCCGGGCATTTGCTGCTCACATCCCTTCCTCCCAGAGGTCTGTCTGTTCAGGTCCCTCTTCTGTTCTGCAAACTTCCTACTTCCCTTCCCAAGTTTCCCGTCTCTGCTCTCATTTGCCAAAATGGGTTGCCTAACGCCCGACACTCCACTGTGCAACACTGTGAGGTGTTCCAGATGGGGAACAGAACGTTCCTGTCTGGGACTTTGCAGAGCTGCTCATAAGCTTAAGAGCACTGTAGATCGTCAAGAAAGGCATGACACATGCAAGGTTTCCTGATCCTATAAGACCAGGGAATACTTCTTCTAAAGACATCTGTGATATAAACTTTTCCAAAAGCGAGTTTCCTGAATCTGATTCAGGATACTCAGCCCAAGCTAAAGACCACTTAGCTCCTTTAGCTGTGACTCCTTCTTTACTAGACACCTTTCAGTCCAGGTGACCAGCTGCTTTGATGCCCGTGTGGGAGGTGGGGACAGAGGTGCTGAGGGTGCTGGGAACCACACCAAAGCATCAGGTGTCTGCAGAGGCAGCCCCTCCTCCAAGTGATTACACGTGTCTAGGGTGCACTGGGACCGATTTTTCTCAGCATCTGAAATACCTCAGGTGGAACAGCCCATTCCAACTTGAGAAAGGAAGAAAGGAAGTCAAACCTCAGAACAGAGTCCGGGCTAAAACAACCAAAGCAGATATAGGCCAGGGGGTCAGGGCCTCTGGGCCTCCCACCAACCCCTAAGTGGGAAAAGGGTACAGAGAGAGGGGAGAAAAATACCCAAGATGCAGGGCCCGTGTCAGGCTGGGTCACCCCCCGCCTGGTCTCCCAGCATCTGGTGGCTTGCCCACTGTGCTCCCACGGCAGTCTGCAGCAGACGAAGCCTCTATGACAGTGGGTCTCCCTTCCCATGCAGAGAAGACTGAAACCTCCTATGTGCCTCCTGGCCAACAGGGCACTTCTTGGTGTCACCCCTGTTTCACAGCAGAACTGACCACGACTGGACTGCATGACCAGGAATGAAGATCAAAACTTCTCCTCCCTCCCTCACTGCATTCTCCCCTCTTTCTCTATCTCACTGGTCCTTCCTCTTTCCTGCCACATCACTCGTCTTGTTCATTCCTTGAAGAGTTTTCCCTCTTTCATGCCTGGGTCCACCTCTTCCTCCTATTCTTTTCTTCCTTTCACTACTATGAAACAGATGCTAATGAGTCCCAGTCACCATTGTTAAAAGAGTAATTTATAATAAAGTTGTCCATAAATAAAAATCAAAATTGAATTTTTAAAGAATCCAGACAGACAAGTTGAACATCGGCTGGTAGTTACATTCTAAGGGAACCATCTTACCTGTAACCCCAGAAATATGCACAGGTACCAGGGGGGGACATCTTCTATGGTATAAATCATGTCCGATCTCTGGGGGTCTAGACTGCCGGTACTATCCAGGGTTTCAGCAAGAGAGCTCTGTGAGGGACAGGGAGAAAAGGCATTATTTAATAGAAGCGAGGACCAGGAATACACTCAGCTCGGAGCAGGCCACTGTTATTGAGAAACAACTTTATAAAGTGGTGGCCATGCTCTTGCAAAAATCAGCCTTGGCTGCCTTTCATGCAATGCTCAACACACTCAGTGAGACGACCAGTCCTCAGAGTTTGGGGGCTTGGTATCCCTTGTCACAGACTCATGCCCAAGAGCACCCAGCTTACTCAGGGTTTCTCCCCAAGCCCAGGGGGCCCTACACAGAGAGGGATGTTCCCTGGTTGAGCCCATAAAGGGATGCTTTGGCATGAGCAGTTCTCGAGTGGTGCCCCAAAGGAAGAAAACGTTATAAAATGCTAACCACTTTCAGACAAAGAGCACTAATCTGTCCCTTCTACTCTATCCCATCCCTGCAAGGAGAAAGATCACTGTACTTCAAAACAAAGTCCTACACCCTCCTATCAAAACACAGCTGCTCTGACACATGGCGAGTGAAAAGTAAAATTCGAAAGGACACAGACAGGATTTCAATTTTTGTTTAAAAACAGACTAAAGATATATTTATAGTTTAGGGGGAAGGGGTTTTTTTTTTTTTTTTTTTTTAAGAAAACTGATCTTTCTTTTTTTTTAATTTTATTTATTTGTCAGAGAGAAAGGGAGAGAGAGCGAGCACAGGCAGACAGAATGGCAGGCAGAGGCAGAGGGAGAAGCAGGCTCCCCGCAGAGCAAGGAGCCCGATGCGGGACTTGATCCCAGGACGCTGGGATCATGACCTGAGCCGAAGGCAGCTGCTTAACCAACTGAGCCACCCGGGTGTCCCTAGGGGACAGGGTTTTTTCCTTCCCTTCCCCGTCCCCATTACTATAGACTTCTAAAAACATTAAGTGTTGTATGCTTTTTGAGCCAAAATCTTCGCAAAGACTGGACACTTTAGGTGTCCAGTCTAGATGTATTCAGTTGACGTCGACATTACTTCTCAGCTAAACAGAAAACTCAAGATAACCTCAAGTTCTCCCACATACCCTCAAAACTGCTTTGGGTTCTAAAACTCTATGAACAATTTCTTAGAATCCGAGATGGGCACTTTAAGTCTTTTGTAACTTAAGTGCCTAAAAGGAAAAAGTAGAAGATGTTTCACAAAAAAGGATGATGACCTTCTGACATTATCTAGCCCCACTTGTGCTCTCTTGTCCATGGGTATGGTCCACAGAAAGACACTGACTCCCTGTTTGTCAATCAATTTCCTGTGCAGAGGCAGACAAGGATTTGGGGCCCAAATACCACTGAGCAAAGGAAGTGACGCAATTCAGCCTCACCTTTTAAAGCCTAAGGGTAAATAAATGTCTGATGTAAGTTGACATTTGAGCTAATCCAAACGAGAACTGAGGTTGACCTTTCAGAGAACTTTTCCTTCCATTCTAAACAACAAGATAGTGGCAGATTTGCATTCCTGAATGAGTTAAAATGGATCGCGTGTGCCTTTAAAAAACTGTTGTTCGGGGTGGTAGAGAAAATACATGTGTGTGAAGAGTGTGGTATGCACTAATGTGCAGGAAAGGGTTAACTCAGCAGGCCTGGGTTGTCCAAGCCCTCACACATTTCAAAAAAATGGCTTGGGGGTGCTTGGGTGGCTCAGTAGGTTAAGCCTCTGCCTTTGGCTCAGGTCATGATCTCAGGGTCCTGGGATCGAGCCCCACATCAGGCTTTCTGCTCAATGGAGAGCCTGCTTCGCCCTCTTTCTCTGCCTGCGGCTCTGCCTACTTGTGATCTCTCTGTCAAATAAAATAAATAAAATCTTTAAAAAAGAAAAAAATGGCTTGGTCCTTGCCTGGCAATTGGGAGAGAGCCTGTGAATCCTTGGAATAGCCTGGAGTTTTTTTGTTTTTCTGTTCATTTGAGACAGAGAGGGAGGGAGAAAAAGTGAGTGAGCAGGGAGGAGCAGAGTGGGGAGGGAGAAGGAGAATCCTGCTCTTAAGAATGTATCTAGGGGTACCTGGGGGGGCTCAGTCAATTGAATGTCCGACTCTTGGTTTCAGTTCAGGTCATGAACTCATGGATCGTAGGATCTGCCCTGCACTGGGCTTCGCACTCAGCATTCAAACTGCTTGAGATTCTCTCTCCCTCCCTCTGCCCCTCCTGCCCGACTCTGTCTCTCTCTCACACACACTTTCTCTCAAATGAATCTTTAAAAAAAAAAAAAAAAGAAAGAAAGGAAGAAATAATAAGCTTTTAAAAGTCTAAAATGTTCTATAAATAGAACAAGGAAAACATAATATAAAAATGAATTGAAGAAATAAAAAAATTTCCAAGAACTAAAGGATATGTTTACAAATTAGAAAAACCCACCAAGTATTCAATGAATTAATGAAAAACAATTCAGATATTCTGGAAGGCAGCCATGATACCACCAATGTTGCTCAGACTCAGATATTTTGAAAACTCAGTAAAACAATCAACTGCATTAAGAAAGACCTTAAAACAGAAATTTAAGAACAAAGGGAAATAAAACATGTTGAATTTTTTTTAAGAAAAGGAATAAAAAGTGGACGTGAAGGAGCACAAGAGAAAACAGACATGAATAACAAAGTAAGGGTCATAGGCTGGAAGTGGGGGGGAGAAGAAATCAAACAATATAAGAAAAGAAAAGATTAGAGAGAAAGGATAGCTAGAGAAGGCTAGCAAAAGAGATCCAAAATATGTCCCTCAAATAAGAAAACAGAAAGAATAGACTGAAACAAAAAATAAAGACAGAATTCAAGACAGCTTTCCTAAAATAAAAGGATCCTTAATGCTAAATACTCCAAGTGCTAGAAAACACTGACCCAGAATGGTCAACATCAAAACATATCTAAGTAAAGTTACTGAATATCAAAGATAAAGAAAGAATCCAAAAAAACTGGCAAAAAGAACAAGATGCTGATAAAAAGAAGAAAACAAGACTGGCCCGATTTCTCCACAGCCAAAATCAATACCAGAGAACCAAAGAGTAGCAACAACAAGGTATGACTCAATTATTCTCTTATCTTTGTACTACACAATTTTCCAAGCATATACAAAGGTGGAAATATGGAATACCAACCCCAACTCTCTCTCCAGCTTCAAAAATTACCAATGCTGTATTCTTGTCTAATCTATTCCAAGGGAACTTCCTTTTTCAAGAACTGCTGGCACCTTAATTTAATTTTTTTTAAAGATTTATTTATTTATTTGACACAGAGAGAGAGAGAGAGAGAGAGAGAGAGATCACAAGCAGGCAGAGAGGCAGACAGAGAGAGAGGAGGAAGCAGGCTTCCTGCTGAGCAGAGAGCCCAGTGCGGGGCTCCATCCCAGGACCCTGAGATCATGACCTGAGCCGAAGGCAGAGGCTTAACCCACTGAGCCACCCAGGCGCCCCTGGCACCTTAATTTTAAACAGAATCCACACGGATTGAAAGTTTAAAAGGTCTTTAACTTTAAAAATAAATCTCAACATTACAAAAATAAGTTTATCTTCTATTTAACAAGCTTGGTGACCATTGCAACCACCCAGCTGTTGAAACAATGGGCAGCAAAAGACTCCAGTGCCAAGCCAGTGGGATATTCAAGTGGGTACACATTATAACTACTTCACTTGTAACTAGTTCCACATTTTGGCAATCTCTGCTTCCTAAAAAACTCATGCTATTTTACATTCTCCGGTCCTCCGTGCAAGGGACCTAGGAAGTGACACGTCATAATATCCCCATTTTACAGATGAGGAGGTAGAGACCCTGAGGAGCCAAGCAGGTCGCCCAGCAGTTGAACACACAGGCTGTCCACAAAGGCTGCATTTGCCACCATGCTACAAACCTCCCAGGAAGAACAGGGTTGCTGCTTAGAAATTGCCAGAAACAACGGACTCTCTGAAATTGTGATTAATAGTGATTTGCCCAATATTGCTGCAACCACTTCACGTGCTGCTGTAAACACATTTTGTGGGGAAACTGTACAACAACAAAATGTTGATATTTCAATGGGAACATTTAAACCGTTTACTTGCAGTTACTTCATTCCTGTTCCAAATACCCTCACTATAAACAAAGTTCAATTCCTTCAACATCCCTCAAAGAGGAATCCCAGTAATACCGAGGTCAAGTTCAGAATGTACTGGGCGTGGGTCTCAATGCTATGGTCTTAAAGATTCATGGTCCGTGACTCAAGGCATTATCCTTCTGGTCCGTTTCAGGAATAAATCCCTTTGAGCACATTCCAAGATGGGTATCTTGTAGCTAACACCATATTAACAAGCATTTACTATAAGGAGCTCAAGAGTATTAAGAGACACCAGAAGTCAGGTTTTGTATAACATAAGAAAATACATGACAACTAACAGCTTGCTGTAATTCGGAAAACAAACATGAATATGGAGAACATGTAGGGTGATCTATCTGGCCCCGACTCGTCCTGTCTCTCCTGCAAGGTTCCAGTGTTAATTCATGGTCAAGTGTTCCAGAGACAGCCTTTCCATGCCCTTGAAAAAGCAAGATCCCAAAGGGCAGTATCCTCTGAAGTTTTCTTTGCATGAATTCAAGACAGCATAGGACCTAAATTTCATTTTTTCTCTAAAACAGGGATTGTGATAGCACCTCTCTAACTGGGTTGTGGTGAGGACTAACAGTGGCCCCTTGCCTGAATCATAGAGCCCAAGGTCTGGACCATTTGCACCATTCAATACATGACAGCTCTTCTCCCAAAACCTGTCATTTCATAAAATAAGAAAAGCAGCCAGTGAAACAGAAAGATATCCTCTCTCCCTAGTACTCAAAGAAATACAAATGTTTCAAAGTTTAGACAGTGAAAAAGATTTTCAAACAGGCAAATAAATGTCTAGCATAAATGAGCCAGACATTCTTCCTGCCAACAGTTCACTAGAATCAGTAAAAGGTAATGCCAGAGATGTTAAAAAGCCCTCAGTGTTAATGCTCGTTGTTATTCATTTCAAAAGAGGACCATCATTTCCTGGATAATGGAGGAGGAAGTCCAAAATCATGACAGCCTATACCCTGGAAATTCTGGTGACTCTGATTAAGGGCCCAGTACACAAAAAATGGATACAGCCTAAAGAGTCTATGAATTCAGAAGCACTCTGCTACAAGATGTATCACTGGATGCTGAGACCCAAGCAGGCCGGGCAATGGCTCCCTGCCCAGATCCTGCTCTGTGGGCTGTATCTCAGCTGTGGACGTAGGTATCGGCCAACATGTCAACAGTGGCTACTTGAATTCCTGCACTCTGAGGACTGCTTTAGAATCCAAGACCACAGGAATTTTAACATCTCAGCATGAATCTAATAAGCCTCCATAAAATTTATAATAGACTGACCAAATTTATAACAGCTTGACCAAAAAGCAATACTGGCCAAGATAGCCAAAAATGGAAAAAAACCACAAACACAAAAATTTGATTATTCTAGAATTTCAGTATAACGTCCTTGTTCTTTATCATTTTAGTGATGACACTGTAAACTTCCAGTGCTAATACCCAAGCTGGGTACTATTTGCAGGCATCGACTTTCTAGTGGTCTGTTTCTAGAATATTAAGTGAACACTATCTAGAATATTAAGTGAACACTATCTAAAGTACAATCCAGGGTCGCCTGGCTGGCTCAGTCAGTAGAGCATGCACCTCTTGATCTCAGGGTTATGAGTTCAAACTCCACTGTAGGTGCAGCTTACCTTAAAAAAATACAACTGTTCTAGAATAACATTACATTATAGAAACTAATTAGTAAATTTTCATAGTGAAAATAAAATGTGCTTTAAAAGTCTACCAAATTGAAGTGGCATGGATGGTTCAGTCTTTTAAGTGTCTGACTGTTGATTTCAGCTCAGGTCACGACCTCAGGGTCATGCTCTGCACTGGGCATGGAGCCTGCCTAAGATTCTCTCCTTCTCCCTCTGCCTCACCCTCCTTTCTCTCTAAAAATAAAAAATAAAATAATAAAAGTCTACCAAGTAAAACTCGAATGAAGTTGAGAAGTTTTAGAGCTGTCGTGAAACCTGTAAATATCTGTCACTTTTCATGAATTAGCCATACTGACCGACCCCCCACTCCCCAAAAAAAGGGAAAAAATAAATCAAGACATCTGGACACTCTTTGGGCGAGCCTCTCCTGGCCCCTGTGAATAGGTTCACATATATTGACCTCAAAGAGATGAGAGGAGGCAAAAAAAAAAAAAAAAAAAAAAAGATTTTCCCATCTCAGCATGTGATTTCTATCACTCTGTTCATTGTCACAGTCTACATAAGCCATCCACTGGCTTCTTTTTTCTTTTAATTATGAAACAATTTAATAAAGCTTTAAGTACTTCAACTAAGGATATTTAATACTCTCAAAGACAGTTTCAATCTGAGTTTTCCCATCATCCAAATCATCTCCTGACAGAAGTGAGGAATATGAAATCTTCTAATGCCACTAATGTGGCAATAATACCCAATTAATACATTATAAAACATTCTAAAGTGTCGGTGCTAGGCCATTTTTAAATGTATGCTATGCAAGATCTACTGGCTTCTCTCATTCTCATTTACCGCAACAGAGTAAGCACCAGGCACAACACTAATAACCACCTATGTTACTATTTCGTCTAATCCTAACAAACTGAACAGGCACTGACATTTTTAGTCCCTCTTTGGAGCTGAGGCACCTGATACCCAGAGAGCTTAAGTAATTCCCCCCGGGGATCTGGGTCACAGTCGCACCCAGAGCTGAGTCCATACTCACACTCTGAACCACCTCCCTCAGCATCCTGGTTGAGGTCTTTAAAAATAAGGACTTCTAATTGGGTCTCACCTTAACTGCCATCAAGACAACTAAGTCACTTCCACCCTCCCCATCCCTTCTATTTCCATTATGAAAAGAACACACCCAGTCAGGGGCATGGAGAGGAGTCCCCAGGAAAGACAGCCACGCCCTGTAGCGGGCCTGGGACACAGGGAGGAGGCTGGGCCCAGGGGGTACCTTTTCTGCGATGCCGTTTTCCGTTGTGTAGATTGCCATGAGCTCGGTGTCTTCATTGTCCTGTTCCCCGCTGGACGTGGCACCTCCATTTATCACCACCTGCAGAGAAACACTTCATTTATAGGCTGTTTCACTGCACATCGCTGCGCTGTGTGGTAACATTATCCCCAGACACCTTTTATAATTTTCATAACAGACCCGAGCCATGTGTGTTCTGCCTACCAAATTGGCTGAGTTTCAGGTTTTCTTAAAAGAACCCCTGGACAAGTGTGCACCGCCTCAGCAACTGTGTGTGTTTCTGGCAGCGGCGAGCAGTGCACTGCAGGTCCCACAGGGGAGGCCAGAAATGGAGGGGCCCCAGAAAGCCCTGGGAGTGCCCCCTGACCCCCAGAAGGCGTAGTGAGGCTCTGGAGCCGCGGACTCTGTTGGGGGTCGGGGGGAAAGCATCCTACGCTGCCTCGGTCAAGATCCCTTCCCAAGTCACCACATGATGATGATTCTGAGCGGCGTCCCCCGGGAGAAGCAACGCGCACTGCTCATAACCCAACGTGCTGTCGTTTCACACTGTGGTTACTATGCAAACTAGCTTGCCAGTGCAGGCGCAGGCAGGCAGGAACGGGTTGCACTGGACGGGCGTCGGGGCTGTTCATGCTGACAAAATCTAGTTTCTGGGCCCTCGAAGTAAGGAACAGAATTGATCACCACTGTCACATGTGCCTGCCCTGATGAGACACATGGAGTCATCTTAGGTCTTGGAAGCCTGTAGCAATCTTAAAATATTTTTACTCTTTAGCCAAATGGCTCCATTTCTAGCAATCTATCTTGAAAAATTGGTACTGAAAAATAAGTATGCAAGAATAGCAGCACAACTTTATTTTTAAAATATAGAGAAAAAAAGACAAAGTACATAAAAAGTTTAACATCTAGTATTGTAAAGTATATTAAAGAGAAGTAAAAAATCAGTGATGGGGTAAAAGGTGGTCCAGCGTAACGTCTATAGGCCACAAAGGTCGGTATCAGTAGTTGGTAAATACCTGCAAATCAATAAAACAATCCACAGGAAATGGGCAACTGACAGGAATCTACAACTCACAGGAAAAAACTTAAATATCTAAAACACATGATTAGCTGTCCAACCTCATTTAAAATTATAGAAATGAAATTTTTAAAATTATCACTTTTTAACATAAATTAGGGGGATATTTTAAAAGATGAATCTGCTGTTGACCAGGGTATAGGGAGAAAAGCTACTCTCAGTTATCAAGAGAGATTACATTCTTGGTGGACTGGCCTTTCTTGAGGATAAGTTACCACCAGAACAAAACAGGCATCTTCTTGGACCCAGCAATTGCACTCACAGAAACTCATCCCTCCAGAAATACCCATGCAAATGGTATGTGCATTCAAGACTGAGGACTGATATTTAAAATGCTGAATCCCTGGAAACAATCTAAATATTCAAAAAAGAAAAAAAAAAAAAAAGATACTACAACCAATGGGAGAAAAATAAAGATAAACATTGTGAGATATAAGATACTGATTTCAAAAATAATGTGACTGAAAAGAAAAAGCCATTAAAAAAGAAAAAATAAACTAATGTACTGACAAGGAAAAAACTCCAAAAAATATTGTTTCTTTAAAAAGTCACAAAATAGGGGAGCCTGGGTGGCTCAACGGGTTAAGCCTCTGCCTTCAGCTCAGGTCATGATCTCAGGGTCCTGGGATCGAGCCCCGAGTTAGGCTCTCTGCTCAGCGGGGAGCCTGCTTCCCCCCTCTCTCTCTGCCTGCCTCTCTGCCTACTTGTGATCTCTCGCTGTCTGTTGAATAAATAAAATCTTTAAAAAAAAAAAAAAAAAAAGTCACAAAATAGGGGTGCCTGGGTGGCTCAGTGGGTTAAAGCCTCTGTCTTTGGCTCAGGTCACTGATCCCAGGGTGCTGGGATCAAGCCCTGAGTCAGGATCTCTGCTCAGCAGGGAGCCTGCTTCTTCCTCTCTGCCTGCCTCTCTGCCTATTTGTGATCTCTGTTTGTCAAATAAATAAATAAAATCTTAAAAAAAAAGTCACAAAATAGTAAGCCTAGAATTATCCTAATTATGCTTTTTTAAAAAATCTTAATAACCTCCCTGTTTTGAACACTTGGGAAAGGATGTAGAAAGGCTCCAAACCAATGATAGGAAGGTTACCCTAGGGACAAGAACTAATGATGGGCACACCTTTCATTTTTTTATTCCCACTCCTCCTTTAACATTTGGGTCTTTTATAATTGGCATGTATTTTTGAGTTGTTTGCTGCTTTTTTATTTTTTTATATTTTATTATGTTACATTAGTCACCATACAAGTATGTCATTAGTTTTTGTTAGTGATCCAAGATTCATTGTTTACGTATAACACCCAATGCTCCATGCAATACGTGCCCTCCTTAATACCCATCACCGGGCCAACCCTTTCTAAACAAACAATAAAAAAGATGTCCACCAAAGTATTAACTATGGTTGTCTTTAATCAGTGGGGCCATTTTCACCTTTTTCCCTTTATGTATTCTGGAATTACCTATAATGAGGACAACTACTTTTTAGATTGAGGTGGTCCAAAGATACTTCATTCCCCCCTTTTTTAAATAGTTGAACAAATCAGGCAGTGAAAAATTCAACTTCTTATACAGATTGATAACCCAAGCGTTGAGGCTACTTTAAAGAATGCCAGAGATCTGCACTAACTAGTACGTAATTTTTACAGAGCAGAGTTTTCTTATGTCACCTCGAACATTTATTTCTAGGACTACCTCTTAAGTCATGCGACAGCTTTTTTACACAAGTTACCTGGGTTTGGGACATTTGTTTGCCCGTAGAACCAGCTGCCAGCAAGACAGACCTTCCCAGCCAAATTCAAGTCTACAACAGGAAACACTAACATACTATCAGAGCCATGCTCCAAGTCCTATCACAGCAGTGCTCAGCCCACAGAGACGCCAAGATGTACACACACTCACAATGAACTCTCCAACAACAACAACGCTCAGCTACTAAATCATCAAAGAAATCCAGATCGGATTCAACGTCCTGTCCTGGCTAAAACCCCCTTCATCCGCACACACGGCCCGCGGCCATAGAACAACTGCTCCGTGGGGACAGGGCTTCCTTCAGGGTGCTGAAAAGGTTTTGGAACTAGGCAGCGGTGATGGCTGCCCAACACTGAACGTGCTACACGTCACTGAACTGTTCACTTTAAAGTGGTTAATTTTGTTAACCAATTGTGAGCATTTCACCTCAATGATTTTTTTTAAATTCATGTATTGGCACGAAACAGGAGATTTTGGCAGGATTTATCAATTCTCACGCCTTTTCGGACTTACTCCACACACACACACACACACACACACACACACACACTCTCACAATGAGGTAAGTCCTAGAAGATGCAAATGCTTCCCAGCCCAGGCAGACTCACATATTCATTCGAGGAAAGGTCTGAACACCTGCAGTGCCCAGGCCATGAAGATGCAGTCCTGGCACGCCACTGCCCCCCCACCCCCACCCCTGCCTCCAAGGAGTGCCACCTGCAACAGGTGCCAGGCTCAGGAATTCGGACTGGAGACAAGGGGCCCCCGCAGGGAGCTGCAAAGCAGGGGCAAGCAGAGGCGGGCCACGACAGGATGCCCCTGCAGACGGCCGCTCTGCTGGCGGCAGGAGAGTGGAAGGGCGAGGTGCGGTAAAGGGATTGATAACGGGAACAGAGGCAGGCAAACCTTTAATGAGGCTGCTGCTGGGCACTCAAGACAGCAGCCTGGGCCAAGGTGTGAACAGCGCTCTGGGACAGGTAGTGTGGCTCGGGAGAGAGCAAGGATGTGGTCCTAACGCCCCTGGAGACTGCCAGGATGGGAGCACAGCATTGTGGCTGCTGGGGGTGGGCGCCAGGCAGACACCACCGCAGTCGGACGGGTAACACACTAGCCCTGCACTGAATGTCGGGGCGGCGGGGAAGGCATCCCGGCCACTGTCCAGTTCAATCGCTTGGGCCCTGGGCAGATGTGAGTCCTGGTCCCGAAGAGGCTGGTGCAGGCAGGGCCAGAGAAACCAACTGGTACAAGAGCAGTATTTGTAAGCCCATCAGAAAGGTGGCTGATTCCTGGAAATCACACAGGACGCTTACTTTCCCAGGCCAGTGCAGGATGTTTATTTAACTATAAAGAGAACTGACCTAAATCACCATGATTTCTAAGATTTTTCCACAGGCCAAGCCATGCCTGAGGACCTCAGAGTCCACCTTCCATCCCCATCAGCCTCCAGTTCCAGAGCTGCACTGCTGCCCTCCACCCTGGCGCCCTCATCCCCAAGGGGAGAACACATCCTACTCCAGCTCTCTACCATGTCCTGGAAGGTAGGAGGTTCTGGAGCAAGTGGCAGATGAACAAAGTTTCTATTGAAGGGAGAGGAAGACCTGGTAACGGAGAGAGGTGAGGGCAACAGGAGGTGAGGACGCCCACCAGGGCGCCTGACTAACCCACCGCCTCCACGGTGCACGCAGGCAAAAAACGACCAAACATGACTGAAAAAATAAAACACTGCTTTGTTTTACTAATATGTTTCCTTTGGTTTACTAAATTAGCTATTCTGATGCTTTAGGGTTTTTTCTAAATGTGAAATTTTTTAAAAATCAAATTTAAAATCCATTCTTCAGAAAAGCACAGATTTTTTTTTTAAAGGATTAAAAAAAAATGTTCCTGGTACTATCAGCACTTCACATATTTGAATCTCTAAATATTACTTCAACTGGGAAATAAAACACAAGTTGGAAAGCCTCTTTAATGTAATAAAACACGTTTCCTTTTGTGTTATTAATAGCATGGCCGGTAACACGGCATCTTGGCATCTTTCATCCTAGGAAACTGATCTAGTTTTTATTTAAAAAAAGGGGGGAGGATTATTTTTGGGAACAAGATGTCCTTTCTCCCCACCAAAACTATTTGAAACCAGACCTGATGGCTTTAAATTTTTCCACTACACCAGTATTGTAGAATCACTCCATCAGCTGTGAATCAAGCATTTGTCCCCAGTATGCAAGGCTAAGGTGGTCTCTGTGTGGGACAGCATGTCTATCA